AACTCCGAGCTCAGACGTTCAACTTCCTTCCACATTCCCAAAGCATGCATTTGGTTCACTGAAAACTCAATGCAGAGCATCAATAGGTTTGGGTCAATTAATCAAAATGAGATCACAATGCTGTAGAATACAATTTTCAAATTGCAAGTCTACAATTTGGGGGGAAAATACAAAAACCTCTGCTTCTTTTTGGTCTGGTAGGCTTTATTTTTTATATACTGAGAATGTATAATGACTGGCTTAAACATTTTTCACTTTAATATAATAAGGGGTTTCGTAACAAGAAAATGCTTGTAATATCTCTGTTACTATGATTACATATGACAATTTGAAATTTTGGTTTAGACTTTCACGGGTCGCATAAAAGGATGTGGCGGGCCAGATCTGTCCCCCAGGCCTTGACTTTGACACCTGTGCTCTAGCTAGATTAATTGCTTCAGAGGTGTAGTCCACATGCTTTTTATACATGCCATTGTTTCATGAAACATGAAAAGTTTAAGTGATAAAGCCGCACACTTGTTTGCCTTATTGTTGTAACCTGACTAATGATTTGCTGATTTGTGCCACACTTTGTGTCATATGAATTTTATGGTTCATTTGACTTTATTTTAACATAAACCGAACCTAAAGGACCAAAAACATTGTATGTATAGTAAATCCGAAATGGTTTATGATAAAACACATTAAATTATTGCTTGTTTATGAAAAAATAGATGAGATGCCCTTGAAAAAATAATCGCATATTAAATCACGTTGGCAATTAAATGAGTTTTCAAAATCGTTCAGCCCTAGTGTGAATGCTCATTTGTCTCCGTGCCCTGCGATTGACTTGCAACAGGCTCCAGCTCACGCTTGACCCTTATGAGGACAAGTGCTACAGAAAATGGATGCAGGATTTACGGAATAAATATTTCCAACTATGCGGTTTGATTATTTCATATGAGTCATTGCAAAGCAAATGGAGGTAATGTAATCAGTTGTGGAATGCATTAAAAGCTATCAGTAGCGAGAGATGCCCAGTGGTGCGCGTGTGAAAGCGCCATCTGTAAACCCGTAATTACACTCACAAAGTCACAGCACAGCCAGGGGGCAGCATGCAGGTGTTCGCTACTCCAACACAAATCAGCCACAAATGCACACAATACACGCACTTAACTGAGCATGAATAAAAACAAGACATCGGCACCTTGACAGCATTCAAATCTCTCAAGTTTTGCTTGCCATTTTCTGGTTCCTTAGTTTGCGGGATTACGCTACAAATGCTTGGGATGGCACGAGCACCATTAAAATGAATGCAAATAGAGAAGTTTGTTCCATGTAAAACACAAGGGACAAAGAAAAGCGTACACGCAGTGGTGGTCTTAGCTTGAAAGGCGTCGCCTAGCACCTTGCCTTTAGCAAGCGCTTTTGTTGATGCATTGTTTCTCCTGGCTCCTTGTGAGCAGCGATTTCTGTTTGTCGTTTGTCGGTGCGCTTTTCTGTAAATAAAGCCTGCATTTCTGCAATCCCCAAAACATTATTCGGTTCGGTCCCGAACACGACAAATCGCTGGCAGCAAAAAGCCAGGAAAACGAAACATGAACAGAAAACGTTTGCAAAAGGCAAGGTAACAGCAAATCTTGAAAATACACAAAACAAAATAGCAAGAGTCCAAACACGCGTAACCAAAATCAGCAAAAATCTTTAGAACAAAAATACTTACAAAACCGGAATCTAAACAGATAAGAGCAACTAGGAACAAGAGCAGGAAGGTCTCGAGGATGACACTTGAGGCAGGACAGCGAATAGGGTCGATAATCCAACAAGAACTTGTGAGCATGGCAGTCCTGAAATACTTGAACAGGCGTGGTTTGAATAAAGAACAGGTGCACCTGCTGGAGCGAAACGCCCTTCACTCCAGCTGGAGCTGAAACAAAGCGAACACACGCACAACATGGAAAAACGTATTTGCATGTTTAAAAGTATTTCCCAGTCAAAAATTTTTAACCCCATTGGCATTTCCACGCTTCTGTACTTCTTCTCTATAGACATACCGCAACACTAAAATAAATACATTTAAAATGAATGCTGAAAGCTTACGTATAATATTAATTGACAACGATGAAAACGAAAGACATTCGTTGCACCCATGGCTAGTTTGAGTGATTTTTAAACCAACATGCAGCACGTATTTGGCATGTTAAAACGGTGATTTGAATGAGTGTTTTATTTCTTATAACTTTTTTATACATTCATCCCTGATATGTTTTTATTTTTTGTTTTTTTTAACACAGGTGAGGCATAGGCAGTTCTTAACAGGTGAACACAAATAACCAATCATCCAAAAAATTTAACCAATTATACAATTGGTTGAATGCAATAAAGAATAGAAGATTAAAAGGATTGGACGATAAATGAAGTGGTCGATTTTCATATTAAAAGTTGAAATGTAGACCATCTACTTTGTACAATTAAAAACAGTTTTGAACAAATAGAAACAAATTTGAGTCCAAATGGAATTTTTGGATGTAAAAGAAATCCTTAGACTCAGTGTGTGCCTATGCTTGCTCAACATGGCGACCGGTGCGGGTCCGTCAAGCAGCAGCTAACGATCCCATAGGTGATGGAGCCGAGCGATCGGCAGCCGGATAATGAGACAGAGGGGGAGTGAGCGTGAGAGGAAAAGGTTCAGCGGGAACTCTGGGTAATGGGGCAAGGACGGCAAAGTCCTCGCTTGACTTTTCCCTTCCGCAACAACATCAACATGGCAGAAGCCCGTGTATTTTTAGATGCCCTTTTACACGACGTTTCGGCAGCGAGGGAGCCAGACCCAAAAAGCGGCGATTACTTTGTCACGCCGGTGCGCGATAAAAAAAAAAAAAAAAAAAAGACTCGGGGAAAACGCTGTAACGAGCCATGATGATGGCCATGTTTTACAGGCTGTATTCCTTCATTACAGCAACGGCTCTGCTCAACACCGTAAAAGAGCACATAACACTGCAGTGCTGTATTTCTCCGTGGGTGTGTGGGTGTCAAGAGTGAGAAGCAGAGAAAGAGAGATGAGGTGTAAACGCGAAAATATTTCGCGCTTTCTGCCACATCTTCAGTACTTCTGGCTATTCATCACGAAGCAGAATTACAAGCAAAGGCAGCCAGGAGAAGAAAAGAGCGCCAAAGCCCCAGCTGGAGGAAGCTATTGGCTATTTGCATCCCAGGCAAAATTGTCTCAATAAAGCGGAAAGTTTCGTCATTTGTTCCAGTGGAAGCAGATATTTTTAGCACGACAACAGTCAGCCAGCTGAGAACATTACCCTCCGGTTATGATGTCAAAATTAGGAGAGGTTTGTTGAATTTCAACCCGCCGAGTGCAGCGGCGATGGCCCGCGGTACGAGCAGTGGCCTTTGAGTCCGCGATCGACCTTTTACATGACCTCCTTAGCATGTAGAGCGTGTACAGCGTGTGGCCACACATGTATGATGGAGTCATCTTGACATGGATGTGCAGGAGGATTTTGTTGAAAGTTTGATTGATTGTGTAGCCAGTGAACTAGATATGCCTCATTTGTACACATGACAACTTACACATGATCTGAATGTACATGCAAACCTCACGTGATGCATTTTACAAACATGGCCGACATGTTTGCTAAAATGTATACAAGCAATACAAGAGTGCTTATGGGTATTTTATCTCATGTTATAGTAACATGTAAAGCTGAACGATTTGGGAAAAATAATCCAATTATGATATTTTTCCCTCTCAATATTGCAGCTGTGATTTAATATGCGATTTTGTTTTCAATGTCCTCCTTTGATTTTTGATTTTTTTTTACCAACAAAAGCAATAGATTGATCTGTATTACAGCAAACATAACATAAATGGCGGCCCGGTGGTCGACAAGTTAGCACGTCGGCCTCACAGTGCAGAGGTGCAGGGTTTGATTCTGGTTCCGGCGTTCCTGTGTGGAATTTGCATGTTCTCCCCGTGCCTGCGTGGGTTTTCTCCGGGTACTCTGGTTTCCTCCCACATTCCAAAAACTTGCATGGCAGTCAATAGAACACTCCAAATTGTCCCTAGGTATGAGTGTGAGCGCAGTGGTTGTTCGTCCCTGTGTGTCCTGCGATTGGCTGGCAACTGGTTCACGCTGTCCCCCCACCTACTGCCCGAAGACAGCTGGGATAGGCTCCAGCACATTGGTATGCCTGAGTTTTCTTTCCAGTTTAAGATTTAGTGATTGTTTTTCAACACAAGTTGCATTTTAGTTAAACACATTTTTAGGGTATCTGAAATCTAAAAAAAAAAAAAAAAGTCCCCCCACCTACTGCCCGAAGACAGCTGGGATAGGCTCCAGCACATTGGTATGCCTGAGTTTTCTTTCCAGTTTAAGATTTAGTGATTGTTTTTCAACACAAGTTGCATTTTAGTTAAACACATTTTTAGGGTATCTGAAATCTAAAAAAAAAAAAAAAATCTAAAATCATATTAAAGGACACACCCTGTATTGTAGAAAGGATCATACAGACTTTGAGGTCCCACTGATTTGTAGAGTTTTCTGATAATGGCACACTATTTTGTTGACCCTGTAAATTTGAAAGATGAAGAATTCAAACAGGAAGTATTTCAGCTCAGCCTAGTTTTTGCTGAAGAATAGTGAATGTTGAATTCTCTTCAATCCTGCTTTTTGTGCGTAAGTGATGGGTGTAGGTTCATTTTATAGTGTACATGATTATTGATGTATATTGTGAGATGACATCCCCTCACCCCATGGAGTGCAGATTCCTGTATATATGTTTTAAAATGTTGACGGTAGTCCATTGGTCTTTTTGCTAGATGTAGGTTAAAAAGCAAACCTCCAGAATATGGCAGTTTTTCGACGAATTAAGGCGCTTTACATTTGATCCAAAATCCTACTAAAATCCTTGTGAGAACATTCCACAGAGGAACATCCAGTGTGTTTGATGATTGTATTCATGTCATTTGGCTCAGCATCCATCCATGGACTTCATCCTCTCTCCCGTAGGACTACACGTTGACCATGTACTTCCAGCAAGCGTGGCGGGATAAGCGGCTCTCCTATTCCGAGATCGCCTACAACCTCACTCTGGACAACCGAGTGGCCGACCAGCTGTGGGTCCCGGACACCTACTTTCTCAACGACAAGAAGTCCTTTGTGCACGGCGTCACTGTCAAGAACAGGATGATCCGCCTGCATCCCGACGGCACCGTGCTTTATGGACTCAGGTAAGCCGCTTAAAACTGCCCCCTCTTGTGTGCCATGATTAGCGCATTGATTACGAAGCGTAATGAGCTAACGGGGTCCTATCTGGTGCATCTAACTGGGCCTTTTTCATGATGAACTGTATGCTGGTGTATCGGAAGTAATGTGGTTTAGATTTAACTTACTCAAGCCTGGCTGAATGTCCAAAGCACGGGTGGGGAATGTATGGTCAAAGAGCATTTGATCCAGTTTATCATGCAATGAAAAAAAATAAAAAAAACATGTACAGTTAGCCCCTGACTATTTGCAGTTCACAATTCATAAATTCACCTATTCATATTTGAATTTGTTTGACTGATCATCACTTAGTCACTAAATAAATAAATAAATCATGCCCTCTGTAATGTCCGAAGATGGCACCAAAGACCCAGCTAATTGGAAAATAGTCATTGGTGTTTTGGGATCATAGTTTATGGTATAAATTATAACTACAGGGTGTCCATAAAGTCTCTTTACCATTTCAAAAATTTATTAAAAATGCAATTGATTAGATATTTTATTCACATTTGTTCTATTGTATTCAGTGTTTTATTAAAGTTTTTTTATCACATTGCATTTGTGGTGTGGGATCATGTGCAATTGAATAATTGGTCCATTTTTCTTCGACGAGACATCAATTTCTGCAAATGTTTACTTTGATCTTTGAACTGAATATGTGGCACCACAACTGAATGACCTTCAACCAACCATCATTTTTCAACAAGATGGTGCACCACCACATTGGGGGCTGCATGTTCGTGGGTTCCTCAATCAAAAATTTCCAGACCGGTGGATTGGGAGGGATGGGCCAATTCCTTGGCCGCCACGTTCACCAGATATCACTCCCCTGGACTTCTTTCTATGGGGCTATGTTAAAGATATCGTGTATCGAAAAAAGCTAAGGGACATTACTGACCTAAAGCAAAGGATGACTGATGCCATTGCCACAATTGATGAGGCTATGTTACAGTGAACAGGGCAAGAAATCGAGTACCATCTCGATGTGCTTTGTGCAACTAATGGTGCCCATGTAGAAGTGTATTAAAAGAGGTAAAAAAAAAACCCTAGTAAACGCTGAATACAATAGAACAAATCTGAGTAAAATATCGAATCAATTGCATTTTTAATACATTTTTGAAATGGTAAAGAGACTTAATGGACACCCTGTATTTCAAAAGAGGCAATTGTAAACAATTTTAGGGGGGTGCCAATTACTTCCCTTGCTGTTCACGGCAGGGCTCTGTCCCTGAGAGGGGTGGGGGGGTATAATAACCTACAAATGCTCATAATCTACAATAATAAACATTTGTTTGATCATTGCATCATATTTCTCCATAAGATTAGTATAGCCCTCAGAGAGCCCTCAGGGGACTGTATAAACATGGAAAGGTTTCCCACTACTATTTTAAAAGTGCTATCTATCATCACAACAGTTTGTTTGTCTGTGTGTGCCCTGCGATTGGCTGGCGACCGGTTCAGGATTTCCCCCGCCTACTGCCCGGAAGCCAGCTGGGATGGGCTCCAGCACCCCCCGCGGTCCATGTGAGGATAAGCGGATCGGAAAATGGATGGATGGATGTTATTATTATTATTATTGTTATTATTATTACTACTACACTTGCCAAACAACTGGTCAACCTTCTTTCTTCTGTATGACTGTACAATAATACCAAAATTAAAACATTTAAATTGAACCGCAAAAGCTCATTATAAAATTAACTGACAAAGATGAAAATAAAGGATTTTTGTTTGCTATAGGTATAGTTCATTTTAGCTAGTTTTATAAACATGAAATGTACAGTTGTTGGTTAGCTATCCTTTTTATAAAAACCTTGTTTTTATTTTATTTCGTTAACGAGGAATGTTTTTTTTTTTTTTTTTTGCACACCCTGTATTGTAGAAAGGATCATACAGACTTTGAGGTCCCACTGATTTGTAGAGTTTTCTGATAATGGCACACTATTTTGTTGACCCTGTAAATTTGAAAGATGAAGAATTCAAACAGGAAGTATTTCAGCTCAGCCTAGTTTTTGCTGAAGAATAGTGAATGTTGAATTCTCTTCAATCCTGCTTTTTGTGCGTAAGTGATGGGTGTAGGTTCATTTTATAGTGTACATGATTATTGATGTATATTGTGAGATGACATCCCCTCACCCCATGGAGTGCAGATTCCTGTATATATGTTTTAAAATGTTGACGGTAGTCCATTGGTCTTTTTGCTAGATGTAGGTTAAAAAGCAAACCTCCAGAATATGGCAGTTTTTCGACGAATTAAGGCGCTTTACATTTGATCCAAAATCCTACTAAAATCCTTGTGAGAACATTCCACAGAGGAACATCCAGTGTGTTTGATGATTGTATTCATGTCATTTGGCTCAGCATCCATCCATGGACTTCATCCTCTCTCCCGTAGGACTACACGTTGACCATGTACTTCCAGCAAGCGTGGCGGGATAAGCGGCTCTCCTATTCCGAGATCGCCTACAACCTCACTCTGGACAACCGAGTGGCCGACCAGCTGTGGGTCCCGGACACCTACTTTCTCAACGACAAGAAGTCCTTTGTGCACGGCGTCACTGTCAAGAACAGGATGATCCGCCTGCATCCCGACGGCACCGTGCTTTATGGACTCAGGTAAGCCGCTTAAAACTGCCCCCTCTTGTGTGCCATGATTAGCGCATTGATTACGAAGCGTAATGAGCTAACGGGGTCCTATCTGGTGCATCTAACTGGGCCTTTTTCATGATGAACTGTATGCTGGTGTATCGGAAGTAATGTGGTTTAGATTTAACTTACTCAAGCCTGGCTGAATGTCCAAAGCACGGGTGGGGAATGTATGGTCAAAGAGCATTTGATCCAGTTTATCATGCAATGAAAAAAAATAAAAAAAACATGTACAGTTAGCCCCTGACTATTTGCAGTTCACAATTCATAAATTCACCTATTCATATTTGAATTTGTTTGACTGATCATCACTTAGTCACTAAATAAATAAATAAATCATGCCCTCTGTAATGTCCGAAGATGGCACCAAAGACCCAGCTAATTGGAAAATAGTCATTGGTGTTTTGGGATCATAGTTTATGGTATAAATTATAACTACAGGGTGTCCATAAAGTCTCTTTACCATTTCAAAAATTTATTAAAAATGCAATTGATTAGATATTTTATTCACATTTGTTCTATTGTATTCAGTGTTTTATTAAAGTTTTTTTATCACATTGCATTTGTGGTGTGGGATCATGTGCAATTGAATAATTGGTCCATTTTTCTTCGACGAGACATCAATTTCTGCAAATGTTTACTTTGATCTTTGAACTGAATATGTGGCACCACAACTGAATGACCTTCAACCAACCATCATTTTTCAACAAGATGGTGCACCACCACATTGGGGGCTGCATGTTCGTGGGTTCCTCAATCAAAAATTTCCAGACCGGTGGATTGGGAGGGATGGGCCAATTCCTTGGCCGCCACGTTCACCAGATATCACTCCCCTGGACTTCTTTCTATGGGGCTATGTTAAAGATATCGTGTATCGAAAAAAGCTAAGGGACATTACTGACCTAAAGCAAAGGATGACTGATGCCATTGCCACAATTGATGAGGCTATGTTACAGTGAACAGGGCAAGAAATCGAGTACCATCTCGATGTGCTTTGTGCAACTAATGGTGCCCATGTAGAAGTGTATTAAAAGAGGTAAAAAAAAAACCCTAGTAAACGCTGAATACAATAGAACAAATCTGAGTAAAATATCGAATCAATTGCATTTTTAATACATTTTTGAAATGGTAAAGAGACTTAATGGACACCCTGTATTTCAAAAGAGGCAATTGTAAACAATTTTAGGGGGGTGCCAATTACTTCCCTTGCTGTTCACGGCAGGGCTCTGTCCCTGAGAGGGGTGGGGGGGTATAATAACCTACAAATGCTCATAATCTACAATAATAAACATTTGTTTGATCATTGCATCATATTTCTCCATAAGATTAGTATAGCCCTCAGAGAGCCCTCAGGGGACTGTATAAACATGGAAAGGTTTCCCACTACTATTTTAAAAGTGCTATCTATCATCACAACAGTTTAACAATTGACATCAGCATCATGGTTAACTTTTTTTTTCACAATGGATGTGTTTTTTTTTTTTAAATGTCATTTTCTTTTTTTTTCCTGACATGTTGCCTGCTTCTCACTGTAAAAGGAAACATCCCCCTCACAGCATATCGTGGCATCATTCTGAGCACCACTGCACAGAAAAAGCTGTTGCCAGGGAAAAGCCATCTTACTTGAGGAGCGCTATTCAGCAATAAGGCAATTCTGTTGCAAGCTCAAAGAATTAAGAAGGAAGAGAAAAGAAGCTCAAGGCCGTCTTAAAAGAACATGGATGAAAGTGCTGCACAATGTATGAATTAACACATGCGAATCCAATCGAATTGCCTTTGACTTTTCCACAACAGGAAATGGTTAGTATTGACTCTTGATAATTTTGGCAAATATATACTCCTGCCCTGTACCCAAAGCTGGGGTTCAGGTAGATACTATGTCTCGTACTTGGTTTGTCAGTGCGTCAAGCAAATACAGTGGCATACATGACAGACAAATTAATTCAATTGCGCTTTCAGCCACTCTGCCCCCAAACTCTGGAACTCACTTCCATCCAACATCTGTAATACTGTATTGGTTTTTCTTCCCACATTCAAATCCCGTCTTAAAACTCACCTATTCCAAATTGGATGCTCCGTTTAAATTACACGTCTTCTTTTATTATTTATAGTTTTATCTGTGGTTTTATTGTTTTGTTCTTGATTGTAAAGTGTCCTTGAGTGTTTTGAAAGGCGCTTATAAATAAAATTTATTATTATTATTATTATTATTAAACCACTAGCCCCTGCACAGTGTCAATAAAACCTGAGCATTATTATCTTAGATCTGAAAAAGCCATTAAACCCAGTTTTTTTTTTCGCCTGACCTACAGTATTTGGCTGACTAGTCTTGGAATGTGGTGGATCTATCTGCATGTCTTACCATGCCGGATCAGTTTTGCTCTGCAACGTGGGAGCGTATTGTCAGAAACCAAACAATAAAACAGCAACAGCCTATCAGCACTGCCTGTATAAGACAACAACAACCGTATGTAGGAGTTTGATTGGTGATATGAAAAGATCTACACATCCCAGTTCAAATGCTACGTTTTTGTGAAAAAAATTATACCAAGATAAATCATTTTAGGGGAAGTAAAAATGTGTAACTCGGTGCGGTTGCACAAGTGTGAACACCCTTATAACTGGGGATGGATGTGACAGTGTTCAGAATAAACCAATCACATTCAAACTCATTTTAAATGGGAGTCAGGAAACAGCTCTCACTAATTTAAGTGGCTTTAAGTAGTCCCAAATACAGATCAGATGTTCTGGTAGATTTTTTAGTTTCCCTGACATTTTTGTCGTCGGAATTAACAGTACATGCCTTGGTCGCCACAGAGTGCTTCCAAAGCGTCAGTGGGCGCTCACTGTAGTATGGCATATGAAAACGGGTGTAGAGATTTTTAATTTGTATTATATATGTGGACTGGGAAGGTGGCGGCAGACTCTGTGAGGATGAGATGCAAGAAGTAACAAACGTGACAGGACAGCAGCAGTGAGGCAGGTCGGGCAAAAAGAGACCAATAGACCATTGTTTATAACATGGCATATGACACTTTAGATTTAACAAGGCATATAAATCAAACACGGTGAAATCAGCACCACGGCCCTTCCTGTTTGTGCTCTTATTTGAAATCAGTTCACATAAACTCACGGTCACTGCACTGCAACAGATACTTGAAAAACCATCACACAAAGCACTCATCACAAAATATTGTGGTGAAAACAGACTGTCTAATCCTAACAATATGTGTGCCCATGAATTAGACTGACATGACTTATCGGCCAGAACGAACTCTCAACAGTGCACTCTACCTTCAGGCATCTGACTGTGTCTCAAGCAGAGGTGGGAGTACGTCACATACAGTTATGTGCAAGTAAGTCTCGGGTACTCCGGTTTCCTCCCACATTCCAAAAACATGCATGGCAGGCTGATTGAACACTCCAAATTGTCCCTAGGTGTGAGTGTGAGCGTGGATGGCTGTTTGTCTGTGTGTGCCCTGCGATTGGCTGGCGACCGGGTCAGGGTGTCCTCCACCTACTGCCCGAAGACAGCTGGGATAGGCGCCAGCACACTAACGACCCGACCCCCGTGAGGATATGCGGATCTGAAAATGGATGGATGGATGGATGGTGTTGTCTCGCTATTTGAATTGAGACCATGATCATTGAAACTCTGTGTGTGTACACGTGTACGTGTAAGTGCGTTTATGTTTGTGTGTGCACTACTTGTGTGTACAGAAAGAGGGCCTCAACATGGATGTGAGATTGTTTTCAGGAAAAAAAGTAGAAGTAAGAGTATTAGACCAAAAGGTCTATCTATCTAAAACAGATCTGAAAAAAGTACGGCGTGAGGGCCACCTGCGGTCTTGTCCACAGTCTCTGACCGACTCTCACAGTGACCGTCAAGTCTAGGTAAAATGTCAAATAGCTATCCTTTTTATAAAAACCTTGTTTTTATTTTATTTCGTTAACGAGGAATGTTTTTTTTTTTTTTTTTTGGCTTTAGTCATTTGTTTAGAATTCATTAGCTATAATTACCTTGCATAGATGAGAAGAATGCAGTTGGGTGTGACCCAGTCAAAGTAACAGTTGAGGATATGGCTACAAATGAAACTATCACGCATGCTAACATCAGCTTACCGTGTTGTTGTGCCATAGTTCTGGACGATGCAGTATTCTACTCCACAGTCTCCACTTTGCTGCAGCTTTCTGTCGTTCTCCCTGTCCTCAGTCTCTTCTCCAATAAAACTCCAAATGCCAAGAAGTAAATACAAAATGGAGTCGAGTTGAGCCTTTGCATTGTACTTTTATGCTGCAGCTTGGTTCAGCATAGCTCTGCTCGGTCCTGGGTGACCTTGGCCACCTCTTTCCCACTTTCTTGAGCTCTGTCTTGACTGACATCCTCGAGGGGTTCTTTGGTTTTCCTGACGTTAACCTGGTGGTTCTAGGATGCCTCCTGGTTATGTTGGACTGAAGTTTCCTCAGGGACTTTATCTGTCTGATCTGTGTTTAATTTTGTTCTTGTTGGTAATTAATCATGAAAACAGCTCTGATTACTGTCATATATGGACTATATGCATAGAACTTTACGACTCCTCTCTCCCGTAGGACTACACGTTGACCATGTACTTCCAGCAAGCGTGGCGGGATAAGCGGCTCTCCTATTCCGAGATCGCCTACAACCTCACTCTGGACAACCGAGTGGCCGACCAGCTGTGGGTCCCGGACACCTACTTTCTCAACGACAAGAAGTCCTTTGTGCACGGCGTCACTGTCAAGAACAGGATGATCCGCCTGCATCCCGACGGCACCGTGCTTTATGGACTCAGGTAAGCCGCTTAAAACTGCCCCCTCTTGTGTGCCATGATTAGCGCATTGATTACGAAGCGTAATGAGCTAACGGGGTCCTATCTGGTGCATCTAACTGGGCCTTTTTCATGATGAACTGTATGCTGGTGTATCGGAAGTAATGTGGTTTAGATTTAACTTACTCAAGCCTGGCTGAATGTCCAAAGCACGGGTGGGGAATGTATGGTCAAAGAGCATTTGATCCAGTTTATCATGCAATGAAAAAAAATAAAAAAAACATGTACAGTTAGCCCCTGACTATTTGCAGTTCACAATTCATAAATTCACCTATTCATATTTGAATTTGTTTGACTGATCATCACTTAGTCACTAAATAAATAAATAAATCATGCCCTCTGTAATGTCCGAAGATGGCACCAAAGACCCAGCTAATTGGAAAATAGTCATTGGTGTTTTGGGATCATAGTTTATGGTATAAATTATAACTACAGGGTGTCCATAAAGTCTCTTTACCATTTCAAAAATTTATTAAAAATGCAATTGATTAGATATTTTATTCACATTTGTTCTATTGTATTCAGTGTTTTATTAAAGTTTTTTTATCACATTGCATTTGTGGTGTGGGATCATGTGCAATTGAATAATTGGTCCATTTTTCTTCGACGAGACATCAATTTCTGCAAATGTTTACTTTGATCTTTGAACTGAATATGTGGCACCACAACTGAATGACCTTCAACCAACCATCATTTTTCAACAAGATGGTGCACCACCACATTGGGGGCTGCATGTTCGTGGGTTCCTCAATCAAAAATTTCCAGACCGGTGGATTGGGAGGGATGGGCCAATTCCTTGGCCGCCACTACCAGAGAGAGTGATAAATGGACTGTAGAAATTGTCATTGGAGCAACACCAGTTAAATTTAAAATTGATTAAGGGACATTACTGACCTAAAGCAAAGGATGACTGATGCCATTGCCACAATTGATGAGGCTATGTTACAGTGAACAGGGCAAGAAATCGAGTACCATCTCGATGTGCTTTGTGCAACTAATGGTGCCCATGTAGAAGTGTATTAAAAGAGGTAAAAAAAAAACCCTAGTAAACGCTGAATACAATAGAACAAATCTGAGTAAAATATCGAATCAATTGCATTTTTAATACATTTTTGAAATGGTAAAGAGACTTAATGGACACCCTGTATTTCAAAAGAGGCAATTGTAAACAATTTTAGGGGGGTGCCAATTACTTCCCTTGCTGTTCACGGCAGGGCTCTGTCCCTGAGAGGGGTGGGGGGGTATAATAACCTACAAATGCTCATAATCTACAATAATAAACATTTGTTTGATCATTGCATCATATTTCTCCATAAGATTAGTATAGCCCTCAGAGAGCCCTCAGGGGACTGTATAAACATGGAAAGGTTTCCCACTACTATTTTAAAAGTGCTATCTATCATCACAACAGTTTAACAATTGACATCAGCATCATGGTTAACTTTTTTTTTCACAATGGATGTGTTTTTTTTTTTTCCTACAAATGCTCATAATCTACAATAATAAACATTTGTTTGATCATTGCATCATATTTCTCCATAAGATTAGTATAGCCCTCAGAGAGCCCTCAGGGGACTGTATAAACATGGAAAGGTTTCCCACTACTATTTTAAAAGTGCTATCTATCATCACAACAGTTTAACAATTGACATCAGCATCATGGTTAACTTTTTTTTTCACAATGGATGTGTTTTTTTTTTTTTAAATGTCATTTTCTTTTTTTTTCCTGACATGTTGCCTGCTTCTCACTGTAAAAGGAAACATCCCCCTCACAGCATATCGTGGCATCATTCTGAGCACCACTGCACAGAAAAAGCTGTTGCCAGGGAAAAGCCATCTTACTTGAGGAGCGCTATTCAGCAATAAGGCAATTCTGTTGCAAGCTCAAAGAATTAAGAAGGAAGAGAAAAGAAGCTCAAGGCCGTCTTAAAAGAACATGGATGAAAGTGCTGCACAATGTATGAATTAACACATGCGAATCCAATCGAATTGCCTTTGACTTTTCCACAACAGGAAATGGTTAGTATTGACTCTTGATAATTTTGGCAAATATATACTCCTGCCCTGTACCCAAAGCTGGGGTTCAGGTAGATACTATGTCTCGTACTTGGTTTGTCAGTGCGTCAAGCAAATACAGTGGCATACATGACAGACAAATTAATTCAATTGCGCTTTCAGCCACTCTGCCCCCAAACTCTGGAACTCACTTCCATCCAACATCTGTAATACTGTATTGGTTTTTCTTCCCACATTCAAATCCCGTCTTAAAACTCACCTATTCCAAATTGGATGCTCCGTTTAAATTACACGTCTTCTTTTATTATTTATAGTTTTATCTGTGGTTTTATTGTTTTGTTCTTGATTGTAAAGTGTCCTTGAGTGTTTTGAAAGGCGCTTATAAATAAAATGTATTATTATTATTATTCAACATATGAACAGTGTGAGTTTCTGTACGTGTTAGTGTGAGTGTGTGTGTGTGTGTATATATATATATATATATATATATA